AAAAAAAAAAAAACTTTAGTGGGAATGACTATAGATACTTACTAGGCTAAGATAAGTCTGACAGAACAACAAAACAGGAAAGTACTCACTTATGCAGCATGCAAATGGTCCTTTTATTTAACTTGAAAAAAATCAAACTAATAAATATACTAATTAATTAATATTAACTTTCAAATGTACCATGGTACTCTGGAGCTGTAGGGGAAGGCATCATTTTTTTGCTGGAATGGTGAACTAAAGAGAAGATTAAATTCATCTTCTTGCCATAATAATATTATGAGCTGAGATAATCATTAATGTAATTAATTTTTAAAATAAATGCAAAAACTTTATTTTCTGTTTTTTTTTTTCTCTCTCTCGGACATTAGCTTAAAAAAAAAAAAAAATATGACTAAGCATCAACTGCAAGAAGACAGAAGGTTCGGTCATTAGTTAGATAAAAAGCCCAAGACAAGAGTTGCAAATTGGAAATATCAACATCTAGCAGCTACAGAAGTTTAAACATCTGGGAAACAGAGAATGGAAAATGTGACACTGAAATCTGAACAGACATTGGACTCATGAAAGAATCATTCCAAAAGCTAAGGAAGGTGCTGAGAAACAAAAAAATTCTTTTAAATAGTGCTGGATTGCTATGTGTCATATATTCTCTTATATGGCAGTGAATGTTGGACAATCACCCCCCGCCCAGATAAGGAGAAAACTAAAAGCAATAGCAATCTGATTCTACAGAAGGATACTGAGAATTTCATTGACAGAGTGAGGAAGCAACAAGAAAGTCTGAAAGAAAATGGCAACAGAAAGAATCAGGGGGAAAAAAGCTGAAATTCCTTGAAAACAAGGTGGAAGGAGGGTTAGGAACCCTCATGAAGGTATATTGAGGGCATGAGAGATGGAGGTGGCAGTGAGGAAAACATGTACTCCCCACCCCTCAAAAAAACAAAAAAAAACAATGTGGATCAACTATGAAAAATCCTTTTAAAATTATCAGTTATTCGTGTACTTTCAGTTTTATGCCCCTATCCCCACCCCGAAAAAAAATCTGTTTTGGACTTTCTTTTTTAAAAGTACATTTATCTGAAAGTACATTTATCTGAATGTGCGGTGTGGTGTAATAGACGACTTGGAATGTGAAATTGGAGAGCAGAGTTCGAATTCCTGTCGGGTTTATTTACAATCACATACGCGCAAATACCATTGCTTGTGAAAGGTATGGCACTATGAACCATCTCTACTCCAGACACCCCACCCAGCTATGGGTTTACCGTTTACGTTTAGTGTAGCATCTTCCACAGCTATGTTTTTTTTTTACTTTTTAGCAGGGAAGACTGGATCCAATCGTGTTGGTCTACCGCAGAATGAAACGCCAGCCTACTGAGGGAAAAAAACCTGCCAGCCTAGTCAATCATGAATCGAAAAAGACAAGAAGAGTGTGTATCACGTACGACATTTATTTGGGGAAAACGACAACAAAAAAGAACGAATTGTTCGATACGTGATTTAAAAAAAACAAAAAAAAAACTAAATGGAACAAATGAAAAAGAAGAGAAAACCGGAAAATGGACAAAATAAAAAAATAAAATTAGAGAAAGAAAGTAAAAGAACAAGAAAATAAAATCTATGGAATATGGCCAATATTTTCTTCAAATGTTGGAAATAATTGCAAAGAAGCAGCCAGACAAGTGCATATGGACCAAGAATGGACACGGTAGTAAAAAGTTAAAAAACCGATTATGAACAAAGTACACGGTTTGTTTGTAATGTTTATGACCTAAGTTCGGCAATATTGAGAGAAGCGAGTAGACAGGTCAGTTTTTGTTGGGACTTGTTTTACCTCGTAAAACCCTCACCCCACCCGGTCATTCGTGGCACATAAAAATGTACTTGTCTGCAAAGCGTGGTTAAAATGATCACGTTTACTCACGCAGAAAAATATAACAGTCTTTGAATAAAGATTTACACTGAATTCCAAAGACCTTCACATGTCTTGCGTCAGATTTTTTAAGCAGAGTTTTCTTTTTATCAGAACTTTTTAAAATCTGAATCCACCTACTTTTATAAACTTTTATTTATGAAAAGATTTAATAAAAAATTTAAAAAATAACTGATTTAAGATTGTTTTTTGGTTTGGTGGGAAAATTAAAAATGAAGAAAAGAAAAGTGGAAAAACTTTTAGTTTATCTTTAATTTTTTTTTTTTTTTTTTTTCTAAACATTTTTTTCAACAATAATTTTTAACAATCAGACAACTTTCCCGGGACTTCTAAATAATTGACAACTTTTAAAAATTAAAAAAAAATTCAGAATTATGCATTAATTTTTTAAAAATTCAACACTAGTTACAAAAAGAGTCACTGACTTCCAGTTGTAGCCACCAGGTAAGTTACCCAATTTTATTACTGACCCTTCGAGACGAGTGTCCTAATGAACCTTGAGGTCGAGCAAGCAAGCACTTGTACCCGATAAAAGTTTATCCTCGTATAAATGACAAATAGAAATACTTACATGCTGGTATTCCAGGATTTATTTTCAGTGTTGAAATATCCCCAACTAGCCGCAGTCTGTGGGGTCATGATAGGTTTGTCCAGGCCACACAAAAGGGACACAAGATAATCCATTATGGTACCGGCGCAATCGAATTTTTTCAGTAAGGAAGCCCTTTCCTTACTCATCCAAAACAAAGTGGCACAACCATGACCGGTGGCCAGCCTCAGGTGCGAATCGGGTGGCGGAAGAGAGCGAAGGAATTTCGTGTTGCACCGCTGGTCACGCCATGTGATAAGGTTACTGGTTTCTTCCATGGCAAGATGAACAGAAGAAGAAACGGGGGAGACCGGTTCGGACGATGATGGAGTCGGATTAGCAAAGCTATCCACTTCTTTTTTAGCGGTCTCTTCGCTACGCCAAAGCATGACTCCATGCATTTGACCGGTAATCGCCAAACACACAACCCGAGCCAACAATTCCCTGTCGAAGACGGATAGACATTTATGTAGGACCTGAAGGATTTGACTCGGGTTTTGTTCGCATCCATCAGGTCCAATATCGCTCTCTGTATCAGCATTGGTCACCTGGGCTGCTGTTTTCAAGGGTTTGTGGGTTTCACTATCAACTAGGGCTATTTTTATGGATGTAGTACCCAGATCTATGCTGAGGACTAATGGTGACGTCAGATCGCGGGTAACGGCCGGATTGTGTCCAGGTGTGATCATGTGGTGTGTTTGTTGTTGGTAGTGTTTGCTAGAGTGGAACACTTGTGCCCCGGAGCTCATCATCGTGCGGTGTTGTTGGTGGTGGTGGTGAGCCCCGGAGGCTGTGATTGTGGTGGTGGAAGTAGCGCTAAAAGCTGATTGATTTAAGTACAGTTCGGGCATTCTCCTTCTCGGACTCCCATGAAACAAAGTTGTTCGTCCGTTTCTCTACAGTGGTAGACACCCAATAACACTCTGGCATTCATATGGACTGAGACAAACAGGACGGGCCACTAAGGATTGTTTCTCTTCTTTCATTGGTTGCTCTTGTTGGCCTGGGTTTGCACCGGCGGTGACCGCTCAGTACTATCAATGCCAACTTCACAACTATGGTAGGACATAAGTATTCAAAAGACGACCTTTGTTGGACAAGTTGATAATAATAATATTGTATTATTGGTGCGCTTTGATTTAATTAAAGGGCTTTAAAATAAGGATGTCACGCTGAGAGAGAGAAAGAGAAAACAATGTACTGAAGGAAAAAGATTCTTCGCACTTTTCTTTGTGTAGGTCGATGACTTGAAAAAATATAGTGTTTTAGTTTTTGTTTGTCAAAAAAAGTCAGCAACACTGTACTAGATGTGACTGTTGTGACGTCTTTTTGTAAATGAGAAAATGTTTATTTATGAACTGACACTAGGTAACCATAAAAAACGAAACTTTCTACCTAATTTATTTGTTGATATTGGAACTTTTATCACGTTATTTTCACATCTTTTTTTTTACTTCTTTTTTTTTAATTTTTTTTAGCAACAGTGCGTAATTATGTATTTTTAGGAAGTGAATAGAAGCTATATAGCAACACTGAAAGTTTAAAAATACATTAAAAAAAATCTGAAAAAAGAATAGCTATAAAAAAAATATTCGCCGCTCAGTCCTAATGATGGTTTTGGTGTCATTATCTTTAACATATTTTTTGTTATTTTTCTAGACAAATATACGGGTGTATAAAAAAAAAATGAAAATAACTCTTCTCTACAAAATAAATAACTTTTTTAGGGTTAAATTAAATATTTCAACAATGTTTATATCTTCTTCAGATGATTAGTAGCTAGTTATCTCCCTTAACGTGAAAACCTGAGTTCACAAGGTACTAAATTAAAATCCTAAATTAACATTTAATGATCAAATTAATGGCTGTGTATTCAACTGGAAGTTAAAAGCAATAATCTTAGAAAAATGTTCTCCTTTGTTTTCTGCAATCTAACACAGGTTTTTTTCCCCCAAAGTTAACTGAGAAAACAAATGTCACTTGATATCAGGCTAAATAAATACATTTACCATCACTGCACTGTTCTGGTTTTCATCAGTAACACTTAGAACAGATTTTTTATTTTATAATTATTGCAACTATATATATTATTGCAATAAGTAAAGCTTTCCTCTCTTCATCCATTAGAAACCATCTTCTAAGCTCTTCCACTGAATGTCTATATCAAATAGAGGAACTATATCAGTCCACAATGTTCTATGTATCAGGTGAAAACCCCAATACTGAATCATTTCAAACCTCATCAGGAATACCAAAAGCAGAAAATGAGAGTTTCAGTCTATTTAATTTCTTTCTAGATTCTGCTGTGCATATATACAAGCACAGATTTGAAGAGATGGGTAAGCATATCTCTAATGAATTTACTAATAAAAATCAGCATTCCTGTTTTTCCTTCCAAGGCCAGTGTAAGAATGTTTGGTTTTGAGGAAGAGATTCTCTCAATCGATTTAATGAATTTATGTTGTGTGTACAAATGAAAGAAATGCCAAGAAAATGCATTTTTTCAAAATTTATAATTACAGTTTCATTATCTGTCTATATTTCTGAGATGAGGTATTGAATTTAATTTAATTTTAACAATTATATTGATGTTTTTGGCTCTTGTTTTTATATATATTTTACATTTTATTATATTTTATATATATATATATATATATATATAATGTATTTAAGGACATATATATTTACATGTATCTGCCTATATTTCTGAGATGAGGTATTATGTACATTATTTACATTATTCGAACTATTGTCCATTATTTACATTATTCAGACTATTGTCCTCATCTTTGTCGCCATATTCATTACAACGTTTCGGCCCTTCAGTATCTGTCTATATTTCTGAGATGAGGTATTATGTACACTATTTACATTATTCGAACTATTGCCATCTTTGTTGCCATATTTATTACAACATTTTGGCTGTTGTATGCTCCGGCCTTCTTCAGATGGTTGTCCTCAAGGACACATGACACAGTGGATAAAGGTGTTAGTTAGATCTAGTGACAGGACCCAAAGAGTATGAGTTCAATACCCAGTTAAGGCAGTGGAAAACAGGGAGAAGGGAATTAACAGGAGATAACTGACATCCATTAAACATGGCACGTGGAACTAGAACAGTCTACCCCAGTGAGCAAAATAAAGGGTTTAGTTTGACATTCCAGCCACCTGAAGAAGGCCGGAGTGTACAATGGCTGAAAAGTTGTGATAAATATGGCAACAAAGAGGACAATAGTGCGAATAATGTAAACAGTGTATAGTTTCATGTTTTGTATCTATTTAAATTTTCTTGTTCACTGAAATTTTTTTGAATTAAAAAAATCTCTTTTCATATTTATTTCCTCAAAAAAGGGAAATAATGCATCTTTATAAAATGGTAAACAATAAATACTTCATTATAGTTGGTTTACATATTTTTATAATTTTGTAAATTTTTATAAATTCATGAATAAATAAACTGTCTTCATATTTATTTCTTTACAAAATGACAATAAATATTGCATTGTTGTTGGTTTATATTTTTATAATCTTGTAAATATAAAATGAATCTAATAAATAAATATTCTAACAAACAGTGTGTAATATTTTTGTTGCTATTTAAAATCCTTAAAATAACTTTTTAAAACAATAAACACTGTCGAGGAAATATATCATAATAGTGATGTCAACAGAAAAACTGTCCTTTTGATATACCATATTTTTTTTGTGGGCCCAAAGATGAAACTTTGCTAAAGATATTACAACACGCACAATGTCGCTATAATTATTTTATTGCTAGTTTTACTACTTATATTTATGTTTTTTAGCCCACACATCTTTATCAGTATACCTTTTATCATTAGTATTATTTTATGATTAGTTTTTATTGTCTCTATCAGATAACAGATTAGGTTGATGCACATTACTTTATAACTGTTATTTTAACACTAATTTTATGCCATCTTTTTATTGTTGCCTTTTAAGACTATGCCCTGAAATGTTCCTTACTATTTTATTACTAGTTTTAGTCCATATTTTGTTATTGCTTTTTATAGCAACATATACTTTTCACTCTATTATTTTATTTCAGTACCACTGAATAAAAAAACAAAATATTTAAATAAAATTTTTCACATGATAGGAAGGATTAAAAAATCATAAAAAATATTCAGAAAGTACTTTGGTCTTTCCTCTTAATAGTAACATAAACATTTAGATGTTAAGAAATTGTTTTATCAAGTTTGGGGCCTTTTTCATCAGGGTATACCACTTTTTTAGTGAAAAAGTGGACATACCTACTGACTTCCATATGTCACATCTGTTCCTATTCTTTGTAGCTGTATCTGGTATAAGTATCCTTTTTGCTTCCCTAAAACTTTCTTGTGACTCACATGTTCAGCCCACAAGATTTTCTGTATGATTTATTATTTCTATCTGATTGTTGTTATTTCTATTTTATTGATCATGACACTCTAGGCCAGTGGCTCCCAAATGATGCACTACACCTCATAGGTGCAGCAGAAGAGGATAGCAGGTGAAGCTGAATAATTGAAAGACAAAGATTTAGAAACAGTTTCCAAAAAATAAATAAGATTTCAAAATTTCAAATATTATTATGTATTACTTGTAATTGCATTATAATTGCATTATATCGAGTATTAAGAATATAGCAACTAGGCTCCTCAAATTGGAGGAGAGAGAGTTATCAATGATAATGTTTTGACTTCGATCTGTGGTTATCTCCCTTTAATTCTTGTGTTTTTTATTTTTAAATGTACTTTTTATCACATAAAATTTGATGTGGCCCCCAAAAAATGTTAAAGAACCACTACTCTAAACTGATAATTTTTAACTTATAGAGCAATTTAAAAAAATAACTGTACTCTTATTACATAGTAAAACAATTATGAGTGATGAAAATAAATACTAACTACCAATGCAACTTTCATCCTCAAGTAACTGGCAACATTTAGTTTCCCTTTGATAGATTGTTAGTTAATGCTCAAGTGAATAATAGTAAAAACTAAAATTATATTAGTTAAAATTTAATTTCTATATAACAATACAGTTAATGTAAAAATCAAGTGTTTAGTTGCTTGACATGAAGATTTTATCTGTGCAAAAGAAACTTCTGTTAATGATTTTATCTGTGCAAAAGAAATTTCTGTTAATGATGCCAGTTCATTAGCAAATTTTGTCAAAATATTAGTTTTACAAATTGGCTTACATATTATCTCTCTAGATATACATATTGTATATACATAGCTTTTATGTTTGTTAATAGGATGTAGATTCCGAACAAAAGTAGAAAAATGAGACAGAGTGCAAAAGCTTTTTAATGACAACAACTTTTGCCTTCATGTGTTATACTGATCTGAAGATGCCAACCCAATACACAAAGGTGAAATCTATTGTCATTAATAATTTTTTTCACTTTCTCTCAATATTGTCTTAGGTAAAAATGACAACGGAAAAAATGGCAGCGGTAAAAATGGCAAAAGTGGATAAATAGGTAAAAATGGCACCGGTAAAAATGGCAAAAGTGGATAAATAAAAAATGGCAAAAGGAAAAAATATAGATGAATATCTCTAAAATGAGTTTATTAAAATCTTGGATACAATACATAATGAAAAAAAATGAGAAGTTTGTCAAATTAAAAGAATATTCAGCTAAACATTCCCCTCCCATGAGATTTTACATTTTAGGCGA